TATCTGCCTTGACCTCCTCCAGCTCGTGTCATCGGTCCTCTTTCGAGCTTGCCTTGCCTATGTGTTCTTTCGGTATGGGAAGTGTGTATGTGTGTATGTGTATGTGTGTGTGTGTGTGTGTGTATGTGTGTGTGTGTATTTGTGAACGTGAAACACTATATTGAGCTCCTGCATTGCTGCCAGCGAGGCCTACAGCTTGGTTATGGGTGCAAAATATTAGACATGACAGTTAGAGACTTACGCCAAAGTAGTCGTTCTTGCCTGACGGTTTGATGATAAAATGAGACGGCAATACATCCTCTTTATATTAGGCATATAACGGCGAAGCCGTTAATTCGGGTGGATGTTGGCTGCCTCCTATCGTTTGGCTGTCTGTCTGCCCAACCGGTCTGGTGCCTTCGTCTCCTCTCCTCTGCCTATGCTCTCCGCCTCGTCCCCTGCCTCTGAAGGTGGTATTTGGCAGAATGTCAAGCGACAACATCAACCGTTGCTGGAGCGCTGGAGCTCTGGAGCCCCGCATTGGTCAGCGCCCCCAATCACACTTGACCCCACTAGGCCCTCTCGATGAAGCCTCCGTCTGTACCCCATTTCAGACAGCATCCTGTCTGACGGCGAGGAGGGTGGGGTGCTGAAGAGGGTGAGGATGGTGGTCCTGGCAATTCTGTCATCCGACGACACCGTTTGCAGAAACGTTCACTCGGTTACAGCCAGTCTTCTCTCGGATTGCAGATCAGTGGTACAGCACGCGTCTCTAGCCATTGGTCCAGAGGCAACAGGTTGTACCGTCGTCTATTCGTCTGCCTCGGTTGTTGCGTGTCTGTTCACGTGTCTGACCATGCCTCGAACCTTCGGCCGAGTGCGTCTTTCCAGTTCGACTCGAGCAAACGGCCATACGAAGAGGCGGACAGATGTGCTGCTGTAGGGGAAAAACGTCGAGACATCTCGTCGGAATGCATCAACCAACCGGCTGAGGATGCATATCGTCAAGGCGTGTGAAGTGTATTCGCTCGCTATGAGACTGTAGCCACGAAGTTCTGCTGCGTTGGAAGGGCTACAGTTTCTGTGCATTTTTGCATCCGACAGAAGAAGAGACAGATGCTGTGCTAGAAGCCATTTTTTTCCATCATGAAAAACCACAAGTTTGAAGTAAGCTTCGCTTTTTTTAGCAAGATCGTGTCAAATGTATCATATTTGAGAGCAAGGTCTATTTAGTAAATTCAGCAGACCGCTACAGGCGAGATGAATCTACTCGTATTTTGCTCACCTCAACTGAACCGAAAAGCAGTCAACATCTTCACGTCATTACTTCAGCCCCACGTGAGATGATGGAGGTCAATTGAACTTGCCATTTTTAAACGCAGAGATTGAACTTTTGCTCCTCCAAGCCTGTCGCTGAGTAGCCACTTTGGGGAAGGTTCCACGCGATACGTGGGTCAATCGGACACAACCAAGTTGCCACCACCAGCTCTTCGGCTAGCTTCCGTCGACCTACTAATGAGTATTCCTCAACATGGCAGCGCCTCAGCAACTCTGGTTTATTAAATAAAATATCTTAAAACCCAATTAAATGACGAAATTTTG